TAGATTCCTTGTCACAAAGTGAAGAAGACAATAAATGCAATACAAGCTGAAGATGTTACCAGGAACGATCATGGTTACAAGAACTGTTACTGTGGACAGACAGTACTCAGAGGAAGTCACTCACCCTGCCAAAATCCCTCTCCCCTGAGTGTCCACCATCAGAGGCTGCATACTGGCCTAGGCAGAGCTTTGCCCCAATCCTGTGCAGATTTCTTAAACCCCTCCCTTTTTTTAATTTTAATTATCTCAAATGGATCTTAAGTAAGGGCAGGACATCTGCCTGTTTACACACCACTTATGTCGCTATGAAACTGATCAAGCAGTACCCTGATTTCTCAGACAAAGGGATCTAAACAAGCCTCCTGGGGTCGCGTTCGTTCTGGGCGCTTTCAGTTCCATCTGAAACAGCTAAGCGCCACTTTGAAAATGTATATATATTTTATAATTGTAATACTACAAAATATAGAAAACATAGAAAGATGAGTGATGGCTGAACCTCCAGTGCCATAGAAGAAGCTGAATATATAAACGAAAGGAAAACATTTGGGAAGGAGGGGGTAAAAGCGACAAAATAACTTCACTTTTAATTTTACCAATCTTCTATATCACTTGTCAATACATTTTAACAGCTTGGTGGAAAAAGATACTACTGAGAAGTCTCATACCTACACGCCTACCTGCGCAAGTGTTTCTTGTATATGACACGCAAATTGTAGCACATTCAAGGATAAAATCTCACTGAAACAACTTTTGCTCTTCTGACAGCAAAGGGCTAATTTGAGTTTAATTACTAAAAAAGTATTTTAAAGCATTTTCAAAAAGCCCTTAATTTCTTCTACTGTATGATTACAAGCAAATAAAAAAAGGTTTATTAAAATTTTTGTCTATTTCACTGTAAGTATATTTAATTACAAAAAATCCTTATAAAACAAATAACATCATCTACTTTGTAATACCAAATTTCTGTGTTAGATTCTCTCCCAAAGACAGACTGTAACAATTTGGGGGGGGGGGGGGGGGGGGGGGGGGGGGAAGGACACAGGGAGGGACAGGACGGAGGGCGTGATGTGTAGATTAATACAGAAATATTTACTCTTGCCTTTTCATCTGTGACACCATAACTACTTTGCATGAGAAAGTCTGAGGAATAACTACTCTAATAAAGGACTTGAAACTGTAAAACATACAGGCCTTCTTTTTACACTTAACTGTCCCTGTGGTCTTAAATCCCACACTTTTAACATCAGGTAAGCTGATAAGCTTCTAGAATTTTTTTCCTCATATCTTTCATTTTGTATTTTTAAAAAAAAAAGAAAATAAATAAATCACACAGTTGCACGGATACCATGGGAGGCAGGGTAAGGCACATTTCCATCAGCTAACTGGGAAGCTGGCAATGTTCTTAAAAAATTTGAAGTATTTTCTTTTTTCTCTCAAAATTTGAAGATGTGTAAACTGCTAATTTTTTTTTTCTTTAACGTAAGTTTAAACTGATCTGGCTGTGAAAACAAGCTGAACTTGTTCTTTATCAAACTGTAGGAGTTGCAGATGAAAGGAGGTGCTATATAAGGAATAGCTAGACTTCAACAGAGAGTGTGCTGCCAAAACATTTTGGCCTAGATTCTGACAGGCACTCACCCAAGTTGAAGGGTCATGGAAAGCAGCGGTGTAAAGAAACAATCTACAGAGACCAGAAAACATTACACTGTGGATTATGGTTGGGTTGGGGCAGGGGGTGGCAGAGAGAACCTGCTTGGGGGTTGGGGTTAGGTTTTTTTTACTGTTTGGGATATGTGGGGAAACACAAAACATACAGTGTTTCAACTATGTGCAAAGAGGGTGGAGATGGTACACAAGAACAACCTTTAAGAGGGCAACAAATTACAAGATGTATCTTGTTCTTTTTCCTAACTTGCCGCTGTTCCTTCTCTTGCCTTCACATTTGCTTTCATAGAATGTTATGAGGAAGAAGAGATAACAACCATCGCACACACACTCCTGAAAATGGCCAGCTTTCATGCTCTGTAATTTTGATTAGACCCTTAATAAACATATCAAAATTTTTACAAAGAAACTCAGGACCTGTCCAACGTTCACACTCTGGAGTAGTACAAAGGATCATCAAAAGGAAATATAAATCGAATTACAGTGAAAGAGAGATTTGTGAAAGGTCCAGACTGAATTAATAGCTTCATTAATGGCAAAGAAAAAGTAACTATTTAAAATTCTTACAATAAGATTACTAATAAAAGTGAAGCTAGAAATGGGCTAGATTCAGTTTAATATGGAAAAGTGCAGGCCATTAGATTAAGGTGAGGAGGGGTGAAAATGCAGTCAAAGGAAAATGCTTGAAAAACAGTACTGTTAAACAGAGGAGATGACTGAAGAAAACAGATGCTCCTGTGTGCACCAAACACAGAAATCTCTCACTGTAGGCTAAAGAGAGGCCTTTGATGGAACAGACACGTGAGTCCCAACACACACATCAGGGACTGGTTTAGAATAAGGAACAAAAACAAAGTTTGCGGCACTTGTCAAACCAAGAGCCTTCAAACCAAGATTAACCATAAGGAAACATTCAGCAGGGACATAGCTCTACATGTGAAAACTGAACATACTTCCGAGCACCATACCTTAAACTGAGAACACTGAAAGCACCAACTACTAACAAATATATCTCTCCAAACATTCAAGAAAGTCTGAGCAAGTCTCTAATTAATAAACCTCTGACCACAGAGGTTTATTAAAAATGTGCAACACATTTTTGATGCTTGGCAATAGAAACTAGTCTCTAGCTGCTGACATGCTAGACACACACACACAGAAAAATAATCTCATGTTTCCTAGATACAATTGTTCAACTCCTTGACAAGCTTCACCTACTCCAGTCAGAAGGACGCTGAACATTCTTTTCCACTTACCTAACACATACCCCACAGTACCAACCTGGCTTCTTGTACTTGCAACTCCAGCAAGGGCTGCGTGACACATTTTCAGCACAAAATACCATGAAACACATAAGTTATCAAAACTTCCTACTCTTCTTATGCCAGTGAACAAGCTCATAAGCAATATTTACGTAAGAGTCGCCTTTGGTGTTAACATCAGCCTGACAAGTTACAGCAACACAAAAATCATTGGTCTGATTTTAGTATGGCTTTGAATGAAGGTTGTTACGCTTGGGCATATTTTATTTTGGCTATTCCTACAACATACCAGCGGCATGCATGGTGCGCTTCCCTTCCCTTGGTAAAAGGCTTGCAGGCACTTACGTAATTTTACAATTCTGATACACAGACATCAAATGATACACACCATAGTCAGCCATATAGGAGGGATGTAATCTGTTCAAACCAACATAATTTCTCTTACTGCTTCAGCGCATTTTTTAATCGACGACACATTTCAAATGTCTCAATTAAAAACTAATTTACAGGAGAACTGCAGGACAGAAAAGGAGAGAAAAGCCTCCTGACTACACATCGTTCCTTATGAAAACCATGCTTCCAAGTCTCCCAAGTGTACTTTTATTAACAGCAGTTTTCAACTCAGTTACCCTACAATAAAGGCTTTGAACGCACCCAGTGCAACTGCAATGCTATTTTTTCAAATAACAGACCCTGAAGTCTACTTCAGCTAGCCCTTCGCGTAATACTCCACACCACAAACAACACGTTCACGATACAGCTTCACCACAAACAAACGAAGGACGCTTCATAAACTACAGCGGAGGGGTGGGGAGGGTGCCAGGGTCCGTAACACGAGCCCCCACTACTCTCACCGCCCTCCACCTGCCGGAGCTACCGACCGCTCGCCCCAGCCCCGCCGGGAGCTTTGCCCCAAGGCTCCCCCGGGGCCAACAACTCACCGCTGCACCGGCCGCAGCTCCCACCGCCCGGCCCCGTGGGCTTTTATTCTGCAAAACCCCATGGCGCGGGGCGGGAGTGAAACGAAGGGGTAAGAAATTCGCGGGTTTCAAACAAAACAGACGCCAGTCCATATGCTGCCTTCCCTCCCCTTTCTCGCCCGCCACTCTTTTTGTAGGGGGGGAAATCCCGGCAGCTGCCGGAGGCCAGGGCCGCGCCTCCCCACCCCACGCCGCGGGGCTCGGCGCCGCGCCCCGCTCGGTACGGGAAGCGGACGAGGCACCCCGATGGCTGCGCCCCCCGCGCCGGACAGGAAAGCGCCGGGAAAAGTTTGAGCGGAGGAAGGGGCGGTAGCAGCTCCTGCCCCGCCGGCAGCACCGACGCCACCTGGGAGGCTGGCCTGCGGGGAGAACTAGGAGGAAGAGAGGAAAGGGAGTTTGTGAGGCTCCCGAAGCCCGCGCCCTGCTCGCCCCTGCGAGACCCGCGCCGTGGGTCGCCCTCCCCGCCGAAACGCGCCCCACAGAGCGGCGGCTGGGGGGTGCATAGGAGCGGAGGGCAGCCCCACCACCTCTCCTCGGGGACGAAAGCCGGGTCCCAGTGCGACGCCACCCGCTCTCTCCCCTTCGCTCCCATTCCTTGGCGAACACCCCGGGCGCGGCGAGACCCCGCCCGCCCTCACCTGAGGGCCGAGCGACAACTCACTCACCTGCAGAGAGCTGGGCCCTGGCCGTCCCGAGCAGGGCGGGCGAGCAGCCGGCCAGCAGGGCGAGCACCGCCAGCAGCGGCAGCGAGGTAGTGGCGCCAGCCCCCCTGCCCATGCCGACTTGCCGAGAAGTTTCCGAAAGAGGCCGGGGCTGCCCCAGCCCTCGGCGGTGGCAGCGGGCTGAGCTCACCTCGCCCGCCCCGGCGCCTCGCCAGGAGACCCCCGCGCCGAGGGGCGCCCGCTGGCCCCGGGGCCGCCCGCTGGGGCAGCCGTCTGCAGCGCGGCGGCAACGGCACCGGCTCTCCTCGTACTCCGGAGTTACTTTGCTGCTGGGCGAGCGGGGAAGGGAGGGAGGAGCCGAGCATGCACGTCCAACCCCCACTCCCCGGCACTTGGCAGCGAGAGTGTGGGACTCCGGCCCGCGGCCCCGCACGGGCGCAGCGACGCACGGCAGCGCCTCCTGCTGCAGACGCGGGTGCCAGCACCGCCTCTGAGCGGCACAGCTCGGCTCTCCTCTCGTCGGCACGGCAGGGCTCAGCTATCCTCCCCCGCTCCGGCATGGCACGGCATGGCACAGCCTGGCTCAACGCGGCTCGGTCCGACGCGGCTCGGCACAGCACGTCGCGGCGTGCCGTCCCCTGTGGAGGGGAATCTGTCCCCCCTGGAGGAGAAGGAAGCGGCGAAGAGAGGCGAAAGCACTGGCCGAGGCGGGCGGGCGGACGGGTGGGGAAGCCGGGGTCGGTAGCGGGGCCGGTAGCGGCGGGTCCCGGGAGCTGCTTGTCCGGCCGCCTCGGGTGGGCTTTGCCGGCTGGTCCGCGTTATGGACCGGGTGGAGAGCGTTGCGCCGTCATCGTGCATCAAGCAGCCGGGCTGTATCTTCGAGGCAGGGTTTGTGGGGCTTTTTTCCTTTGCTCCCCTTGCTTTCTTTTGGCAACTCTTGTCTGGCTTGTGGTGCCAGCAGAGTCTGACTGCTCGCAATTGAACTGGTAATAAACAGCATTGCCCTTAATGCTATCGTTTCCACATGTAATAAAAGGCCAGCCCTTCAGACAGGTCTGTATGCAGCTATACGACACCGACACCGGTGAGCTGTGAAGCAGGATCTTCTCTACATATCCAGGCTCCAGGTATGCCATATAATACAGGCCTTTTTCTGTGTCTCCAAAAGCACTGCAGGTCCCTATGCTTTCAGCGCTTAGAACCCTAAAAAGCATTTGGAATGACAGATAAAGGCATGAGTGCTGGAATTTCTGTTTAAACAAGAATAATTTCTTCCAAATTTTTTAACCCGTGTTTTGTTAGTTTTTCTTTTTTGCATGTCAACTTGTAATTAGAGATGTTGTATAATGTTTACAACAGAACCTGAAACCACTGGAAACTCACAGGTTTTATTGCAAACTCGAAATTCAATCTGGGGTCATCAAAGGTTTGCTGTGATTCAAAATCCTTTCCAGCCAGTGTCTGGCAATTGATAGGTTTGCCTCTAAACCCCTCAAAGCCTTGTGTTTTCACAGCAAAAATGTGAAGCAGGACATTTTGCTTTGTTATACAAACTAACATGTACTTCACCACCCCCCACCCCCAAAAATTAATCAAAACAACCACGCACAAAAAAAAACACAAAAAAAAACCCACAAAAAACAACACCAACAAACAAACAAAAAAAAACACCAAACAAAAAAACCCAAAACCCAAACACTAAAAAAGCTCTACACCCGGACACCTCTGCACTTCATTTGGGTAGAGTGGCTGAAAAGCAACTTGTATGCTTACTGTGAACTATGAATTGATGTGCTTCAGTGAACCCTGGCTCTTTGAACTTCTAGAAGGATGGGAGCTCTGTGAGGTGGATCTCACAACACCTGGTGTTTCAGGAAAGATGGGTCACGTTCTGGGTCCAAGTAAACATGAGAAATTCTTCTGAGCCAGGTGAAGGAAGGAAGTGGGCCGGCCTGGCTACATTGCCATTTCTGTTTCTATTTGGAAACTTTTACTGAAAAAGACGAACCAAGTCATCTGGGTGTAGGGGTAGAGAGTACACAGGTATCTGATGCTGTCCCTTGTGCTGGGAGCTATAGAAGTAGTGAATGAATGGTTTGGAAGGGCAAGGGAGAGGAGGACTAATGCTCGCTTTCCCTTAAAGGAAAATCTTCCATGAGGAAGGACTACCTCCACAGCAGTCTTGCAGGTACCTCCTGTGGTCAGCACTGCAGTTTGCCATGTCCAAAGTGTGAGAGAAACTATTAGGTGATGGTGGATGTGCAGCACCAGGCTGCTGCTCCATTTCACTGCTGTGAGGTGATGGGTCCCACTGACCTACAGTCACCTGTGCTCTATCCAGACAGTTTCTGCATCTTCCAGTGGGTGTCTCTTGGGATTTCATCCTTTCCTGTTACTCACATTCCTGTTAAAAAGCAACAGAGATATTTTTTTATTGCTATTATTTCCTTGACTGGAGAGTTCAAGCTTGAGAGGCATGGACAAGATGCACACATGATCCCACTTTTCTTTCAGGTATGTACGTGGCAAACTATTTTGTGTAATTCACTCTGTGTCCTACTGTGCTTGGCATCCTGAGAAATACTTAAACTTGCCTATCAGGCTTGACATCATTTTTATGTTATATGACATGAATGGATTTATTTTTGTTCCAGCTTTTACATTTTTAGAGCTCTAAATGTTTTACAGTCTTTTGCATTTTCAGTTAAGTGCAAAAGATATTTATATTACCTTTTTCACATCTTTTTAAAAACTGAGCAAGCAACTTGTATACTAACAGTGAACCAAACATAACAGCAGAAAGATGGAGACACCCCCCAGTAAGGTCTTTCCCTTCACCCTCAGGGGTATTTAGAACTTGGGGAAGGTACAGTCTTTATCCTGATAATTATAACCTCTAAATAAAGTGTCAAATAAATCTCTGTCAAATTCAAGAAAGTTTGGTTCTGAAACTCTACGATGTGCTTCAGCCCTGTTTGCATTAACTGTTAAAACTTTCCTATTATACTTCTAGTTGTTGCTAAGCCCATCATAACACATTTTTTAACACAGGCTATCATTTAATTTTGTTTGTAATGACTGACAGCTGTCTAGAATCATATATAATCTCATAGTAAAATACCTTAAACTAGCAATATTCCAACGCTATATGATAGAATTCATATCTAACACGGTATTTTCCCATGGTATTTGAACAGTATGTAAAATGTAGCCAAATATGTATTCCTAACCAGTAAAAATATTTCCCCCTTCTTTTTTTTTGTTTTGTTTTGTTTTGTCTTGTTTTGTTTTTCCCCCAGGATCTTTTAACCATTCTCCTCAAGCACAAAGGGATTTTGAGAAATTTAAATAAAAATTTTCTAGCCAAGAGATCAGATAGTCAAGAATTCTCATTATTCTGACACTCCCACCCAACTTTTCACCCCTCTGCACTTTTGCTTCCTATGTGAAAATCTACTCACTTTATAAGCCTTAGTAAGATTCAAGCCCTTGAAAATCTGGTTGTTCAAGGTGGTAGATCCTAAAGAAAATTGAGAATTCTATTGACTCAGATTTTCTTGGTGTTCCCCAGTAATGCTCAGGCAGTGTCTTCATTGTATTTTGACTTATGTGAAAAAAAAAAATCTCCTTAAAATGTACTGCAAATTTTGATTAAATGTGTTATTTTATTGTCTAGTGCTCACACAAGCTTTTAGAGAACTTGCTAATTCCACAGGGAAACAGCAGCCAATGCTTTTGTCATAACAAACCATGGACATGTAGACTGGAGAGGAGACAATGCTGAGAGTCTTACTGATGCTTTTGAACAGTCTTCTTTCATACAGCTGCTTTTCAGATGCAAGTGTAAGGCATCCTAGAAAGGATGGAGTTTCACTGCTGCATATCATCTGTGCACAGGTGGACTATGATAATAGCTTCCGAATATGAGCATCTTACATTCACCCAGCTACTTGTGGCACATGATAAGAATAGGGCATACAACCTGGGAACTGCCCTCTGCCTGTTGGTCTGCAGGGGCAACTCTGCAGCTCACGTTCTCCAGCCCTCCTGTCATAAGAGCTAATGAGAGGTTTGGGTGATAAGAGAGAGCCATGTAGGATTTCCCATCCTGAGTCTCCTGTTCTTACTTGATTACCATTCTCAGCAATGTTCACTTTTCAGCCTAGAACTTCCTGTTCTTTACCCAGAGATGGGGTAGTACTTTGGTCTGCTTGTCATTTTTGCAGTTTTGATAAAATAGCCTGTGATTTTTAAAGAGGAGCACATTCCTATTATTGACTAAATCCTGTTTTATTTTTCTTTGATCAGACAAAATAGTTGACAACTGAAATATAGCACGGGAATAGCCTTCAAGGAGTCAAGCATAGCCTTGTCCTGAAATAAATTGTTTTACTGAATTTCATCCTTCAAAATTATGTTTTACTGTGCATTCCTTGTGTCAGGGTCCAGTCCAGAAAGAAACTGGCTCTGAGTTTGTCTAAGCATCAAAGAAACTTTTCTGTAAAAATCTCCATGTTAAGAGTCTCGTTCTGTAAGACGCTATTTGGCTAAGTGGTATCTTGCCAGGGGTGTTGGTTGATGAAAAGGCTCAACCAGTAGTGTCCACTTGCAGCCCAGAAAGCCAACAGTATGTTGGGCTGCATCAAAAGGATCATGGTCAGCAGGTCAAGGAAGATGATTTTCCTCCTCTACTCTGCTCTCCAGAGATCCCACCTGGAGTACTGTGTTCAGCTCTTGGGACCCCAACATAAGGAGGATGTGGATCTGTTGAAGTGAGTCCAGAGGAGGGCCACTGAGATGATCAGAGGGCCGCCTCTTCTGTGAACACAGGCTGAGAGAGCTGGGGCTGTTCAGCCTGGGGAAGAGGGGGCTCTGGTGAGATCTTAGAGAAGTCTTCCAGTACCTAAAGACAAGAAAAATTACCTAAAACTATGAAATCTGGAAAGAGACTTTTGACAAGGGCATGTAGTGATAGGACAAGGGGAATGGTTTTAAACTGAGAGAGGGTAGATTTAGATATTAGGAAGAAATTCCTTATTGTAAAGGTGGTGAGACACTGGCATAGGTTGCCCAGAGAAGCTGTGGATGCCCAACCCTGGAAGTGTTCAAGGCCAGGTTGAATGGGACTTTGAGCAACTTGGTCTAGCGGAAGGTGCCCCTGCCCATGGCAGGTGGTTGGAACTGGATGATCTTTAAGGTTCTTTACAACCCAAACTATTCTGTGGTTCTGTGATAAAGCAAGGAATGTCTTTCGGCATCAGCTAGTATGTGAAGCACAGTGTATCTGTGGGTGATTATGAACGCATTAAACTCCTCAGAACTATTTAGTTTCAAGCAAGCTCTTGCAACACATTTTCTGTATGTATGGGTTTAAGCAAATAAATCTTTCCACATTGCCTAGAAGCCTTTTACTAGTTATCTTCTACCCCCATGGCGTTTGTCACAGTTTTTGTGCTTGTATTCCTCATTAGAAATGTAGGAAGAAACATCACTTTTTTGAAACTGGGAAAGATACCAACAAGATGTAAGAAGTTTCTAAGGACTTGCAGAGGTGCATTGCTTTTCTGTACCGATTAGCCAAATCCTTTTAGATTATTATACTTGTACCTGCTGCTTGCAACAGTTTGAAAGCATGTGGAGTTTTAAATTCCACAACACTAAAGCTGAGCTTGAACTCAGTTGAAGGTTTTTGTTCAGGGTTTGGAACTGCTCCAAAAGGGCAGTCAATATGCCCTTCAAAGATTCATAAGAAACTGGGAGAAAAATGGACAAATGGCCTTAGGGGGTATGTTGCCACTGAAGTACAGCAGAGAAATTGATCCAAAATGGAGAATGGTTGAGTCAGATGAGGTCTTGCAGGTGTTAATCTGATGCAACGAAAACTAGAAGCTGATAGAAAAAGGATTGTAAAAGGATAATATATAGATGGGCCATCTAGAGAAATCATTTTAGCTGTGGCTTTCTGGGCTAAATAGTTCACTGTGATCAGTAGGATAAATCAAATAATATTGCTTCTGTTCCCTTACTAGATAAATCTGCATATATTTGTGGCTTAAATGGGTAAACATGCACATTTAAAATTCAGTGAGTAGGATGTTTGTAAAAAATTAATAGATGAAAAACAAATTGAAAGTAAAATCAATGTTGTCCAAAATCACACTTCACTTTTCATCCAGCTTTTACCTGGTCTTAGTGTGCTGTGATTGGCGCAAGCAACATTTTGTACATAAAAAGAAATGTAGGGTTGAGTAGTTTCCTCCTAAAAACCTTTAAAGAGCACACAGTTTGTGAACATTGTCAAATGATAGCCCCGAAACACTTCAATATCTCTTTCCTAGGCTTTTTTTTACAAGGTTTAAGTAATTTGGAGGTCGCAGAGGAGACATCTCATAAAAACCAGACATCAGAAAGGCACTTGTAAATGTCAAACCCTGGCCCCATTACCGACAAAAAATCTGATGACTTTATTTGAATGGTGTAATTCATCTAGAGAGAGTAATGACATGCAAGTTGTCCATAGCCTCAAGACCTTTCACAGTGCTGTTACGTCCAGTTGTACTACATTCAATGATCAGTTTATTAAGGGGCCTTGGAGGCAAATTAATTATTTAGATGTACAATAAATTGAGAATTCAGTCTTCCCTCACTTAATGGAAGTTGCATTCTTGAGATTACCGTTATATCCTCAATACCAGCCATTGTTGAACTCTTATCTGAAAGAAGACTTATTTGAAAAAACCTTGAAGTGAAATAAAGTTCCTATATCAAAAATTACTTTTAAGTAACACAGAGCTCTGTAGTGTTTAGCACGTCTGCTGGGATCAGTAGTGATTTTGTTTTGCTTAATGTAGGCATAAATGTCCAATATAGGTTACTGCAAAGCCTGTTACTGAAATTAAAAAAAGCTAGGATTGGCTTGGGGGAAAACAATTACTCTTCCTGTAATAATTGTTGGTGTTACAGTGGTGCACTCAAAACTTTTATGAGATCTGAATTCTTACATGTTTCCATCTCTTCTTGTTAATTGGAAATTGATACATATGAGGGTAACTGATGAGACTGCCTGAATATAAAATGATCTAAGGAAAACAACCCTGAGCATAAACAAGCACAAGAAAGTGACAATATAAAACACATTACCCATTCCTCCGGCACATTTATCTGTTAGAAAGGAATATATTCATATTCTTGCTGTTAACCAAGAGATGGCTATGATTTGAATAAGAAAGAGGCTCAAGAAGCTCAGTGTATGATTCAACCTTACCTTCACAGATTTTAATGATAGCCAGGAATGAAAATTGAAATCTGCAATCTATCAGGCCAAACTCAAGAGAACAAGAATATAATTAAAGAGATTTCGAGTTCAGCATTATACCCACATTTATTTTTGCAATCTCACTCGCTAACAACTGAAAGGAAAACTGGAATCCAACTATGTGTACTTCGTACCTATGACTACACTGCTGATCACTGATAGCCCACCTGAAAAGGAAAGGTCACATCTGGCAGGGGTTTTCTATCATTACTTGCAACAGGGCAGGGAAAGATGCTAAGCAAAATATAGCCCTCTCTTCTTCAGCCTACCATGTAAATTTGTCAGCTGGGTCAGGGATGTATGACCATCCAAAGAAGGAGGAATGTATATTGAATTATTTCTTCATCTTATATAAAACTGAGGAAATGCTAATGCTCTGAAGGTAATTCTGCAGAAACAATTGCTGAAAATTCATGGGTGCCATCCTCTCTGTAGTTTTAGGCAGATTTCATCCCTGAGGGAAATTAATGGAGTGACATTAATACATACTCAGCAGACTCACAAGTCACAACTGACATCTGGTATAGTGATTGCTCGTGTCATTCCACAAAGGCCTTCTCTATTAGAACAGTCTTTCATAAGCCGCTACTAAACTTTTCTTCCAAAGTGGAAAATCTCATCAGATAGATCTTACAAACTCATAAAGACTTTGTCTCTGGGGTCTAACAGCTATTTTCTGGTTGCGCTTAGAATATTACTGCCTCACTTCTGTGTACTTTAAGATTTCAGTGTGACTTTCAGATATCTACCATAAAGCCCCAAATTTCCTCTTTTATGTTCCTTCATTTCAGAGCTGAAGTATTCTCTTCAATTCCCAATTTTTAAAATAAGCTACTAAAATGGAAAAGGCTACCCTCTCCCAGAATAGATGTGTATATATCTTATCCAAAGTAGGTTTACTTCTGCCCCAAGAGTTTGTCGGCAGTTGAATTATCGTTCTCTCTCTTTGCTGAATGGCAAGTGACTCACTCTGAATTACTGTATGTCAGGATGCTGGCACCATGTGTAAAGTTAGTTTTCAGATCTAAATTTAAAATTTTCATATATCCATTTCTTATTTCCAGTTTAAGTTGTGCAATACCTGGAGTATGTCTTCTTTCTCTAGAATAAGTTTATATGAACAAATTAGAAAAGTTGGAGAAAAGAGTATCCTGTCTGAGACAGGATACTGTAATACATTTAGTAGTAATTTTATTAGAGTCTGGAAAGTGTTGAAAAGCAAAATCTCTGTAGAGCAGAATTAGTGGGGTTTACATGAAAACTTGTTATAGAATTTCTGGTTTCCTGAAAAAAGATTCACAGTCATTTATGTGAGAAAGAGGTTTTACCTGGCTTGATTGTTCATTTTAGTTCTAAAAATAGATCTTCACTTGCAGGACCAATAGATCTTTGCTTGCAGGGCCAAGCAAAATTTCTTTACAATTTATGTAGAATAACCTGACAGCTTTTATAATGAACTCGGTTGCTTTTTTAACTCTGTCTGTACTGGGTTGATTCTATATTGTCATGGCTATGCTCACTCAGTCGAGCTGTACTGCTGTCCATTTTATGTCAATGATGACCAACTAGGGAACAGAAGAACAGTTCAAGAATAATATGGTAAATGCAGTGCCAATCTTCTTCAGCTGTGAAAAATATATGGTAAATCACCATCCTTTTATGTGCTGTAAATAAGTCCATATACTTTGTTTTGCCTAACTCCTTCCAAATGCCACTTCCTCCAAACAAATCACAGTCTTCAGGTTCCCATCAATATTTGCTTGCAGACTGAAATTGTTTGTGGATCTTCCTTTAGCCTACAAGAAAGTAGTTTCTCCAGGTTCAGCAACTGAATCGGTACATTTTACTGTTGCACTCTGCATTATCCCATCCTGTTCTTGAAATGCCATCTCTTCTGCATAGGGGCAGTTCAGATACAAACAGGAACCCTACATCCTTATTGTGCTGATAGCAGTAGTAGCACTGATGAAGTTTGCAAGGTGATGTTCCTGTCTAAAGGACTAGTCTTTTTTCACCTCAAGATTGGGTTTGGTAGCTTATTATCTTCCTAAGTCAAAACTGCCCCAGGAGACCTGAGGAAATCTGTAGGAACTCAGCCTTTTTTTCTCCATGTTCCAGTCTATTCCTCTCCCTTATTGGCTGCTCATCCTCTGGAGAAGAAGGGCAGGGTTCTCTTCTAGGCTCAGACATCTCAAGGAGGTGTTTAAGAATGAATCTGTTCCCAGAAAAGTGTATCATAGTAACTTCCAGTGGACCCGAATTTGGGGCTTTCTAAGTCAGCAAGATTTTGGTCTCCAGGAAATTCCAAAATACTTTTAGGTTCTGTTCACAATAATTTGGCACATTTGTCTAATTTTTGGTGTCCAAAAGAGAGGCAGTAGCTACTTGTTTGCTCCCCTTACAGTGCTCACTTGAGTGCCAGCATTTAATGACTGTTGAGTATGTGACACCAGTATAATGATAGCACTAGTGACAACACCACTAAACCAACAATATCATTAAATCATATTCCCAGAGCATATGATAGACAATGATGAAGCAAAAGAAGAAAACTATGAATACAAGTGATGCTTGTCTTGGAGAAAATCACTAATTTATTCAGCAGGAAGAAAAAGACAATTATCAAAACCCCTGCAGTTTCTACAGATGAAAGGTTAAGATTCCAATGAACTCCATCTAACTACAGGTTTTATTTGGACTTCAGGTCTAGTTATTTGGTTATTTTTATATAATCAACTAGCACCAGGTCCAGCAACACTGGCTCTCCATGTGGTACTGTGAGTAGTCTCACTGAAATCAGGGCCTCATTCATTTAATGGCTTGCTAGATTGGGCCAGATCTCACAACTTCCTCTCCACCCTTCTTTCTGAGGGTGTTTTCAAACAATTTGGATGAGAAAAATGTATATTAAAACACCCTAACTGGTAAAAATACAAAGTACCCCTCGAAATTGCTGAGATTTCAAGGTTTAGCTTTTAAAGACACTGGAAGGGATGATTTGTTTGCTTTCTGTGTAACATGGTCAGTAATAGTGTCATCCAACAATACCCACATTGCTGCGCAACTAACCCAAAGGTCTAAAAAGATATTCAGCTTTATTTTAGTAGAGTCTAAGTCTTTAACTAATGCTCTGCTCATAATAGTTTTCAGTGACTAATCAACTTGATTTTGAAAATGTGTCAAGCTTTAAGTTCCAAAAAGCGTTCTTGACAATATCTCTCTAAATTAGTCTTTGCTTTTGCCTACATTAATTATTGTTTTATCTATATACTATAGCTCTCAGAGGGGGTTGTCAGTAATAAAATTATGAAAAATATATTGTTAGCAAGCACTTAAGTTAAAATTAATTTTACTGTAATTTTTTAATCATCAACTGTCAGGGATTTGAGTCATGCCTGATTTACAATGAAATCTGCATTTCTGACACCTAAAGAAGGTAGGTTATTCTATAATTCTGTGATTGACTTATACTAACAAAGAGTACTCCAACAAGTCCTTGGGATCACAGAGTGGAAGCCTACCTATCCAGTCATAAATTATAAGCAATCTCATTAATTTTTTTTCAGGTTAGCACATGAAGGGGTTTTTATAACCACGGTTGCTATAAGGCAGGTAGAGTGCCTAGCAGCATGCACAGATTCCAGAGAGGTTTGTGATCTTCTTATCCTGCTGTGTTCAAAGTTTCAAGGATTGTCTTGAAGCGAATGTTTGATGGATAGCATACAGTGCTCTTCCAACCGGCACTGTGAGTCATAGCATTGTATATTGTACCAGTTTATTCAACTTCCTCAGACTAGCATATCCCACACAGAGACCTAGGTGTTTCTTTTTCCTTTCTCTAAGGACAAACTTTCTGATTCTACTTTATATTCTTTATCCACAGCTTGTGAAGTGGAATGGAGTTCCAAATGGGGAGATTGTGACTTGACTCTGCTTCTCTTTTTTCTTTTTTTCACATGGAGAAATAAGCCCTGATTAATGAGTTTCTGTTCACAGTGTTCTTTCTTTTAAAAGGCAAAACCTGTTCTCTGTATGTGTGGAAGATGACAGATTGACAGCCCTGGGAGACTGGAAGCCCTCTGTTTATCCCAAGTACACGTACAGCACAAATAGTAAAAATGCAACTTTCTGTGAGCTACCCAGCCAATGTATTTCAGCCCTGATATACATGGCCAGGGAAACATTCAGGACACTAGAGGTTATTTTAGTTATCTAGGCTATGTGGTTCTTTGTCTTTGCCAAAGCTAGTCACCACTGTGATGGCAGTTTCTGTGATCTGGATGTCTGAAAACATCAGCTTTCATTGAGCAGTCATTAAATGGTAGTGACTTTCATTTAAGACTGATCTGGTCTGAGTCTGAACTGTGTTTCATAGAGAAATGCCTTAATATCTTGTTTCTGATCACCTGAGCCTTCCAGCTGCTCTGAGTGTCCTTTTTTCAAAGGAAGAGAGGTTATATTTTGTATTTGTTTGACTGGGGAAAGGGTTCTTAGCTGATGGTACACGAGGCTGATCATATTCATTTCACTGCTTTGGCACTTCTTTGAAATTTATAGGGATATGCCATGAGTGGTATATCATATTTTTGTGACTCTTCTTGCATGGCTATACATTTCTGTGAGTTCAGAAGAAATAGCTAGGGGAGCAGCCTGAGCATGTGACAGTGAATAACATACTGAATGAGTGGTTATTTGCACACTGATTATTGCAAGAGATTTTCACAGATGTAGATTAGGAGGATTATAGATGGTAAAAAGCTTCAGTACCATTTTAGAAAGTGAGACACTGGAGATGTAAATGAGGAGATATTCTTAATGATCAGTTTTTTTGGCATATTCCTGTTTCAAGGAAGCCAACACAGCATTCTGTGGTGGGGATAGGAAAAGGAGAGCGTTGGTTGGGCATATGGCTGTCTCGGGACAGCAGGCATCAGTGAGGGAAAAGATGAGATTGAGGTAGGAATACTCTTGTGATCAAAGAGAAATAGAAGGAAGTAAGGAAGGAAAAAAAAAATGCAGAACAAAGGTGACCAGAGAAACTCCCCAGGACCTTTTTTTATACCCATGCCTGGCATTTAGTACTCAGAGAGTGAGTTTAAAATTATGTGACTGTGGTGAATTTTGGTCAAGAATTTGCTCAAGCAGCCCAAATGAAATACACTCTTCCCCTCCCCCCCTTCTGAAAAAGAGATTCTGTAGAGGCTTGGTGCAAGGAGCTCAGCAGTTGCAGAAATTACTGAGGGGACATTTGGTCTTTGTGAACATGTGGTGAAGTGCTACCTTGCACTACTATGGTGGCAGTATATGATTAATATTGCAATTAATAGCTCATGTTCCTCCCCTCTGCACCCAGATACTGAGCTCTTTGAAATCTGATTCAGGAGATCTTGCTGCAGTTGCAGTGTTCTAGGTACAATCCCCCTGTGCTTTTATAACACTGTAATTAATAACTTAATGCTATTCTATTCTCAAAGTCCCCAAATGTTGGTTTTTTTTTTCTGTTTTTTCTCATTCTCTACAAATAAAATTTGTTTCAAAGATGTGAATATTCTCTCCATGTCAATGAAGGTCTATCTAATACTGAGCTCTGTTATTTCTGTATTTCCACATTGAACTCTAGAGTATGACAGCAATTCCCTCGATCTTTGAAGACAAGAAGGGAACTCATACCCTGAAAAATTGAAAGACTCTTGGCCATTGAAGGTCATTTAGAAAATCTTTCCATTCAGCTCTAGAATCTGCACAAGCCCAAACATTTCACATATATGCCTGATAATAATATTGACAATTTTTCCTCCCAGAATGGCCAGTACAAGTATCTTCATGCCTCATCTATGAACAGCATGTCCTATCAGGAAAATCTCTTTTCCCAGCAACCACGAAAAATATTTGCTGTTTGCAATTTCATGTGCTATCATGTGATAACAAGACTTATTTGGAAAAACTCTGTTGGTTTTCATTCTTATAATTACAGTGATTACTTAGCTGTCTGTTGAAATGTTCTTTGGTCCCCAAGGCCATTTTTATATAAAGCTAAACTCAGTAACAAGTATTTTTATGTCTTACTTGAATAGCTATTAACATATGAAGTTCTTTTGCTATTTGTAAACTTTTCTATCAGCTCAGTTAAAATTTGAAACATAAATTTAGTTCAACTAGCATCATCTGAAGTGTATGTACTTCATTTTTACATTCATTTTGTCAGCTATACATCCCCCATACCATATGGTATAATACTCTCAAAGAGAAGCTAAATCTTTTCTGCACAGTAATTGTTTTTATTTCTATTAAAAGAGAAAGGCACAAATAATAGGTACAGTGAAGTCATGCAATCTTTGGCATGTCACTAAATCCTTGATGTCTATTAAATCCCCTCCTAAACTTGCAATTCCCTTGGCAGAGCACGTAGGAAGGCCTTTCTCCATCTGCTGTTTTTGCTGATGAGATGCCAAATGGCTTTACAGATACTCTCATAGCAAAGGAAGGAAATGCAATTACAAGAATCATGCTCTTAAAAGCACCATTTGGGAAAGAAAAAAAAAAGGATGTGATTTTATATATACTAGATCAAGTCAGAGAATTATTACAAATGATGTTCATTTACAATAAAAAAGAGTAATAACTGATTTTTGTATATTGGTGTATATAAAAGATGGTGTTAGAAATGTCCATCATTCTCTGCTAATTCAGCTATCCTCTTGCCTTCAAACTTACTGTTTAGAACAGAATAAAAAAAATAGCTTTTATCAAGTTTAAACAAATATAGAACTAACTGAATCGTATTATTCTAATGAGAGGACCACAGCTTTAAATGTTGCGAAAATGTTAAATCTCAAAATCGTCATAAATATTTGCCTCAACCTCATCTAGAACAGCTTTACACAATGGCATTGTATTGTTAGATGCATGCATGCGGATGTGCTTTCAAAACAACAGCAAATTGTTACAAAAGACACATTACTTGTTTTGCTCCTTTGTAAAGCAGTGGTATAGAATGAAAGCATTCCCTTAGAGACTGAAATGATAATTATACCTTTTTTTTTATGGTAACACGTCTATACCCAATATCTGGAGAGAAGCAGCTGACGTCTTTTGACATTTTTATTGACTTTTTTCTTTTATTTTTTTACACAGAAGTAAACATGACAAACAGGGTTCAAGCAGTTTTAGACTGGGATTTCTTTCATATTCACAACCATTTGCTGTAATTGAAGTACAATTTTAAAAGCATCAAGCTGCTGAAAGAGTGTCTATGAAAATAAAACTCTCTTTGTGAACCAAAGGTGATACATTTCCTCTGTTCTCGAATACAGGTGTAAATTGAAACACAGTAAAACTAGCAAGAGCAAACAGGAAAAGAATTAAAACACTATGTCTTTGTTGTTTCATTATTTCCTTTACTATGGAGTGCAATCAATACTTTACAACAGGGTTAATACGGTCTCTTCAAACATGCTATTATTCTTTCAAAATAGCACAATAACTTTATTAGTTATGCTGTCTGCAGTCTTTCCAATGTGACAGGATTGTGTGGGTGTTCAGATTGTAAGTAATTTTCTTGGTGCCCTCTGTTGGAGTATTTTCCACAACTGTTAACAATAGCAGCCAGCACCACACAGCTGCACAAAATTGGAGTGGTGGAAGTTCTAATTCTAATTAGTATAATTAACACAAATAAAAAGAGTCCCACACTGAGAGACTTACTGTTTCTGCTTAGTAGTTATTGAATATTCAGATTCCACATCTGCCAGTTCTTTATTATTCAAGTGAGATTGTAGTGGGTGACTGACTTCTTTCCAGCTTCAGTAACATTCAGGTGCACTGAAAGGTATTTTAAAACATATCCTTGAGACTGATCTGGTAACCAGTTGTTAGCATTCTTTCTTGTACCTTACCTTTGGGAAGCATCTGTTTTGTAAATAAATAAATCTGAGTAAGCATTGGCCCCTCCTTGGTGTAGCAGTACCTCCTGCTTATGGTTTCAGATGATTTCTGCGATCGCAAGGTAAGAATAGGGATTACTTCCTTTACAAAAGAATCAGGGTTGAGCAAGTTTAGAAATAATCCATGTGACCAGCTATACTACTGTATCAAACACCTCAGTGGTCAGCAGCCAGCCTTGGGGGTTAGGGAAGAATGCCAACAAGCTTATTTGCTTGATTTGAATTAAGAGACCTGAATATCCTAGTGACTCATTTCAGAACTGTCTTAGATCCCATGGTGCCAGGCCTATCTTCCTAGGTAACTATGTCAACATCCTAATCCTGGGTGTTGTGGTTTAAACCCTAGCCAGACAGCTTGTTCACTTACTCCCAGTGAGTGGTACCGGGCTGAAAGCAATCAAGGGCCCCCCTGGGGCTCTCCCCTTTCCCACTCCCAGAGGGACAGGGAGGAGGATTGAAAGAGTGCAACTCCCACGGGTTGAGACAAGAACAGTCCAGCAACCAATGTACAACACAAATAATCACCGCTACCACCAACAATGATAAGAGAAAATAACAAGGGAAGGGAATACAATACCACCTGCAGAGAAACGAGTCCCACCCGGAAGCCGGTGTCCTTCCGGGTAACTCCCAGTTACCCCCCAGCCCGGCCATGACGTGCTGTGGTATGGAATACCTCCCTGGCTAGCCCGGGTCAGGCGCCCCGTCTCTGCTTCTTCCCTGCTTCCCCTCCTCGCTGGCAGAGCATGAGCCTCACAAAGACCTTGGTCAGGGTAAACATCACTTAGCAACCACCGAAAACATCGGTATCACCAGCACTGTTCCCAGGCTGGAAGTCAAAACACAGCACTGCACCAGCTACCACGAAGGAGAAACATGACTGCTACTGCTGAACCCAGGACACTGGGCAAATTTTTTTTTTTTTTAATCTTGCTCAGGTCTTGGAATTCAAACCCCTTGCATGTCACTATCTCCACCTATAATCCATCGTCCCTGTACCCTGGCAGAACAGCCTTTCATTTGTCTTTCATTATACATATCACTGTAATAAAAGGTCAGAAATATCAGGTACTTGCTTACAATGAGAAGTACCTTAGCTACAGTAGCTGCATTTGTGTAGCAAAGTGCTACTCAGCACTACTTTGTTATGCAGAGGAATACTGAGTACCATTCAGTATTACTGAAGAGAATTGTTACCTGTATGGCTGGTCCCAATGGACAAAATACAGCAGACGTCATAATCTGAGAGGGGGTTAGTTAACACAGAAAGATAGATGTGCTGGCTGGTGCTTATGAAAATGAAAGAATTGAAGAGAATATTATCTTTTGCAACTAGGTCGGTGTTGGGCTGCCTCACCTGCCAAAGTCAGAAATGGTCATATCTGCAGATAGATAGAAAAAGGATTTTTCTATTCCTTTTCTTGTCAAGATTGAGTCAATCATCATGTGACAGACCACCCATGTGTAAAAAGATGTATGTCTGGTGGGAGCTGATACGGAACCTGCAGAAGGGTTTATTGGCTTTGAAAAGCAAGTAATTTTCCATTAATACTTCCTGTAAAGGATAAGGACGTGATACCTTACAGATGAGCTGTAATTAGGCCATTATTTGATGTCTCAGATGCTGCAGCTGATAACTGTGTCTTATTCTAAATTGCCCTTTCATCTTTCAGTCTGGCTTAATGTTTGGATATAGCACTGAATGAATCACTCATATTAATTAATCATCAATATATTAGCTGCATGAGTTGTTGTTTATTATTTCTTCCCTCTACTTTGGCTTCACCTCAGATATCCATCATTAATAGTAAACTGTTTCACAGAAGCAACCATTTACAGTCAGGTACTGTATAAATATATATATAAACACAAACCCACAAAACACATAAATGAAATATGGAATTAATAAATTAATAATAAACCCTGGTCTGAATCTCTGTAACAGCTGCTAATTCTCAATATAGGATTTATTTCTACAACTTACCTCTCCCTAGAGGTCCAAAGAACATGTATGTGGTCCGAAGTACAAGTATTTCTTCAACTGTTTTTAAACTAAAGGTTTAAGTATAACATTTGTTGTAGCCCTTTTCATATAAAAGCATCTAACTTTGACACTTACATAATTATTAGGATTGATATGTCACAAATGTACATTGCTCAATTATAATATTCTGAAATATTCATTTGGGGTCCAGTAATTCATCTGTGAATTACTTTACTGTGACTCACTTCTTTCCAAGTGTTTCTTACATGATCCTTAAGTAGTTAGCAAGAATCAGCTGATCTGAACTGGAATAAGTAGTCCTTGGTAAGGGTCTCCTAAAAATGACATATTCCCCAAGAACTACAAAGAGAAAGGTAAACTTACATACAGAAAGAATTAAACATACAAATGTATTAAAAGTGCACAAGCATCAGTGAATTAATATGTTCTCATACATACATTCTTACTGAGAACTGAACAGAACTTGGGAATGAGAGACTGAGATGTTTGCAAGGGTCTTCTGAAGGATGTAAATGGATAGGACATTATTAAAAAAAAACCTGAGAGCTGGAAGAGAGAAAAAAAAACTTACCAGGTTTTCCGGAGGGCTGGAAGAAAATGAAATAGCAGCAAGTAACAGAAGTTAGGAAGGCTGCAGGAATATGCAGGCAGAGTGACTGCCTGATGGGCTTTTGGCTGTTACCCGCTGTGGAGCTGAACATCCAGCAAGGACTGAGGGCCTAGGTGCAAGTAAAAAAGGAGTGAGACAACTCCCAAGGGGAAAGTTCTGGAAAATTTCATCTAGGGTAAACAGGAAGGCAGAAGATTGAAAAGACTCGTTA